TGCTTTCTGGGCTGTAGTGCTTTCTGGGGCTGTAGTGCTTTCTGGGGCTGTAGTGCTTTCTGGGCTGTAGTGCTTTCTGGGGCTGTAGTGCTTTCTGGGGCTGTAGTGCTTTCTGGGGCTGTAGTGCTTTCTGGGGCTGTAGTGCTTTCTGGGGCTGTAGTGCTTTCTGGGGTTGTAGTGCTTTCTGGGGCTGTAGTGCTTTCTGGGGCTGTAGTGCTTTCTGGGGGCTGTAGTGCTTTCTGGGGGTTGTAGTGCTTTCTGGGGCTGTAGTGCTTTCTGGGGGCTGTACTGCTTTCTGGGGGTTGTAGTGCTTTCTGGGGCTGTAGTGCTTTCTGGGGCTGTAGTCATTACCGGCTCGAGTTTTCTGTAGAGATGTGACTATTTGATAGGGAAAAAGAGATGTGGTTTGCACACTGTATATGATACACCTTTTTAGCTTGTTTTTGCCAGTCCTGGAACTTGAACTCAGGACCTGGGCGCTGTCCCTGGGGCCTCTCTGGGCTCTAGGCTACTAGTGCTCCACCACTTGAGCCACAGCACCACTTCCAGATTTTACTGTGTATGTGGTGCTGAGGAATCAAACCCAGGGCTTCATGCATGCAGGGCAAGCACTCTACCACTAACCTCATTCCAAGCCCCAGAAAAAGTACATATTCAAAGAATTCCTATTCTCAGCCTGAATATTTAACTTTTTACCTTGCCAGGACAAAAAGATCTTACTTTGGTTTAATTTCAAAGTTAATATTAGTTATAGTTCATGTGTTCATGTATGTATTCCCAGCTACTTGAGAGACTACACTCCGTACTGGAATTTCTAGTTACAGCAATTCAAAATGAACTTTTTTTTTTTTTTGCCCGTCCTGGGGCTTGAACTGTGGGCCAGGGTGCTGTCCTGAGCCTCGGCTCTAGGCTAGTACTCCACCACTTGAGCCACCACACCCCTTCCTGCTTTGTGATGGTTAATTGGAGATGAGAGCCTAGGACTGCGATCCTCAGGGGCTAGGATCACCGGGCGAGCTGCTGGTGCCCGGCCTTTTGAATGTTTTGCCCAGTGGCGCTCTTCTGCAGAGGAAGAGGGGACCTCCTGGTGAATGCAGTCTCTTCCCAGGGCGCTTGTGGATCACTGATAAAAGCTGTGGCGTTTGCTAGTAGACACGGGGGACCTCCTCTGTCACTTGGGCTGGCTCCTGTCAGGCCCAGAGCAGACTGGACATGGCCCTGGAGTAAAAAGGCTACAGCTTCTGTCCTTCCTGTCTTTGAGTTACACATTTAGTGTTTGCCAATGGAACTGATTTGTTCCTGTACTATAAAGATCCAGTCATTATTTCCTATTTAGTAACTTCATTGTTTTAAACTTTCCTAGTTGGAAAAAATCCAAAAAGAGACAGCCCTTCTCCAGGAGCTGGAAGATTTGGAATTGGGTGTTTGAAGATTCACTGAGAGCAAGTTGGTTACCCGGAATCGGTGTCACCACATCTTCATGTGCCTGGATAGTGCATTCATCCGAGACTCTGCCGATGTGTAAGGCCACTTCGTGATTCCATTAAATTGACTTCACCTCCTGTATCATGTCAGTGTGTGATAGAAAAGTGTCCATGAATTGTCAGCTAAGCGTGACAGGTTGAGGGATACTGTTGTTTTTTAGAAAACAACAATGTACTATATAAATGAATAAAGAGATTTTACACTTAGTTTTTTTCCTCGTGAGTTTGTTGGCTAAGTGCGTGCAAGCGGGGAGCGGGGCTGGCGTGCAAGCGGGGAGCCGGGCTGGCGTGCAAGCGGGGAGCGGGGCTCGCGTGCAAGCGGGGAGCGGGGCTGGCGTGCAAGCGGGGAGCGGGGCTCGCGTGCAAGCGGGGAGCGGGGCTGGCGTGCAAGCGGGGAG